TTGATGTACCATGTTCAACATTTTTCAAAAGCCTAGGGGGGCAGCTGCCCCCCTTGTCCTATACTAGCTCCGTCTGCTTGTTCTTCATTCCTTACAAACTAGATGCAGGAATCAAACAAGCAAAACACCAAAATGATACAATAAAACACACATAAATCATAATTTATCACACAAAAAAGGAAACAAAAAGGTAGGATTTTTGGGGACTGTAGTAGCTGGGAAGAAAGCCTGGAATTTCACTCCTTTTCCCTTTTTTTTTTTTTGAGATAAAGAAACTTATAAAATTTTGGAAACTACTTAATGTTGTACCTATGTTTTTAATGATTACAAAACACATTTGAATGACTAATTGGTTCATTTAAGTGTATAGTTAAAATGTCAAAAGATTGCAAAATAAATAAATTTGGACTGTACTTAAAAACAGACCAAAAAGGCTTGAGTATGTGCAGAAAGCAGGCTCTTGAAAGATGTAACTGGCTCTGATGAAATGGAAGTGCAGAGAGCCGGTTCTGGAAGCTGCAGTTGGCTCTACGGGTAAAGATTTAAAAGTCCGTTGTTTGGCACGCGCGGAGAAAAGACGCAAAGCTGGCTCCAACTTTGCAGCCGACTATAAGGGTGCATTTAATGCACAACGGTCGACTTATTTGAAGAATAATTAATATTTTTTAAAGTCGAAATACCAAAGCCAGCTCTATGTTTTTTGCAGCGACTGTGGAAGAAAACAGAATGTGTAACAAACCCGCAAAGCCGGTTGCAGAAATGGTAAGTCGACTGTATAGAGTTGGCTCTAGGAAGTTAAGCCGACTCTCTTGACAATCCTGCAACTCGAGTTTTGCATCCTGCAGAGCATTTAATGACACCCAACGGCTAGAAACGGCTATTTTCGAGCAAAATGCTATATATATGGTTGGTAACAGATCTGGAACAAGTTTAAGAACATTGCATTGAATATCTTTACCTACCTACTTAAGCCTTAACTTGAGTTTTTGATTTTTGAGTGATCATTGCTTGTAATCCTCTTCTTGTTCTATTATTGTATGTTCTTGGGGGTGTGATTATTCCTTCAAGAGTGATCTATTGAGAGGATTCGTGGGGTTTACATTGTAAAGGGGTGAGGTTTGAGAGAAATACTTATTTTCTTGTAAAAGGATTGATTGTCTTTCTTAGTGAAGAGTGTGGAGGAAATCCTTGGTGAGTGAAGCCAATGTAGAGGACTAGGCTCCAAGTGATTGGACCGAACCTTTATAAATTCATTGTGCAACCTCTTCTTCTCTACTTTCTTTAATTTTGATTTTGTAGTTACAAAATTGGAGAATTTTTGAAACTCCAATTCACCCCCTATTAGAGCACATTGAGTCAACACTTAAGCTCCCTAAAATACTAATAAAGCATTTGATATAATAGCAATTAAGTTTCAGCAACTTGTACAATTTTACAGCAACCAGCTCTGTACAAAAAAAGTCACAAACAACCAAACAGATCATTGTTCTCTTCAAAATAAAATAGAAATATAATTTTAACCCATTGGAACTTTGCTGGAGCTTTGTTCTAAAAGAAAGCAGACAGCTCTCTTTCTTAGAGACAGCCCTCTTTCTTTTCATTTTTTGCATTTTATATTGCTTGGAATTTGCACCTTGACGCACTAAAATTCATTAAAAAGTGCACTAGTCACAGAAGTAATAAGGTGATGAGAAAAGTTTCAAACCTACAATGATTGTGATTAACTAAATACTTAAAATAATTAATCCTAAATTTATTCAAACAATTGAAAAAGACAAAAACTTTAATTAAAAATAACTAAAGAGAATAACAAATTAAAATATGAGGTATTAAGGTATTTGATCTCGCCACAACAAAGCAAGATAGATTTTAAATTATTATGCTTTTGAGATATTTACTACACATGTAACAATGTGATTTCTTATTTTATTCAATATACTTTCTCAAATTATATTAAACCTAATTTCTCCTACATACCAAACATATCTTTACCTATTAACTCACTATATCTCTATATAAATTTAAAATAGATAAAATTGCATAGCTCAAGCTCTTGGGACGAGGTGGCAGCCTTTGAAATGATCCAAAGAAGAACTTTCATTTGGCTCCGTGGAAAGATAGAGGGGACTGTATTTGCATTCTCCTAGTGCTATCTTAATCCTGAACTTTGCATTAGATGGCTTTAGCATCTAGTCTATCTTTGGATTTTATTGCTTAATTTTTTTATTTGTGGGACTAGGTTTCTTATGTAAGAAAACAACTTTTATATAAGATTTATATATGGGTAAGAGTATCTCTTGTACTTCATATTAATATAATTTAACTCATCTAAAAAAGGTAAAAGCTTTCAAATCTATTTATCACTAATACTGTACAAATCACATTGATAATCATCTATGACTTTTGATCAATTCATGATATATATTATTAGAAATTATTGCATTAAATCTCCTCTCTATCTCAATTGTGGTTTTCATATCAATTTTAAGGTTAAATGCTTAATTTGGTCCCTCAACTTTAAGAAATGAACATTTTTGGTCCCTCAACAATTTTTTGCACTTTTTTGATCCCTCAACTTCACGAAATGCACTCCGTTAGTCCTTCTGTTAATTTGGGCCGTTAACTTTGCTTATGTGGCATTTTTTATATATTTTTTGATGATGTGGAGAGCAAAGTGATGATATGGACAAACATTTTGATATTTCATATTACCCTCGTGCCAAATCATATTACCATGTGTTAAATTCATTCAAATGGGTCCCACTTCATTAATAAAGAAAGATATCTTTTGATGACATGGTAAATTAAGTGATATTTTTTTATATTTTTTAATAATATAACAAATTAAATTAAATATTTATCCGAATAAAAAATAATATCAAATCAAATTTTATTAATTAATCATCATTAAACTA